AATAACAAACAATGCAACCTCTTATGGTCACTGCTTGAAATGTCAGGACCCTTCTGAATACTGGTACAAATGAGCGTCCTGAAAGAAGAACCACCCTTGTGGCAAAAGAGCTGGCTATGTCTAACAATGACATAGCAGACCATTAGTGAGTCTCGGCTCCCAGACGAAGGTCAACTCACAGAACTGGGGTCTGGCTATATCTTCTTCAGGAAGGGAAAGGCTGCTGTGGAGAGAAACCACATTTATCGAGTTGGGTTTGCCATCCGCCAACGCATCTTACACAAGTTAAATGCTCACAGTCCCACTAAATCACTCAAGTCATGCCTTTTTCATCAGTGCATACGCCTCAACACTGGATGCTTCTTGGTGACTTAAATTCCAGAGTTGGCAAATATTCTGACATTTGACAGGGAATAATAGGGAGAAATGGACTAGCCTAGTGTAATGCTAACAGCCTACTCCTCCTCATCAAAAGTGCTGCACACAACCTCACTATCACCAATTCCTTGTTTTTGGCAGGTCGAATATTTCAAGGGTTCGTGGCAACACCCACGATCCAAACACTGGCATCTCATTGACTAGATCATTGTCAGAGAAAGAGATCGCCGAGATGTCCTCATCACCCAAGCCATGCTTGGCTCAGACCACTGCAACACTGTACTATCGGCTCATCAGAGCCAAACTCTCACTTCACGTCGCGCCAAAAAGGCAAAGGCAACAAGCTTCCAGAAGATGTTTTAACATTAAGCGTCTGGAAGACCCAGCGGTAGCACATGCTTTCAGAGAGCAGCTCGAACATGGGATAATAAAAAACCGACAATAAACAACCAAAATCCCAGTGCCGAATGGGGGTATTCTCGACACTATTATGACAAAAACCTGCAGAGAGACCCTCGGCCTGGTCGAAAGAATACACCAGGACTGGTTTGATGAAAATGACCCGGAAATCAATGTACTAGTCAATGATAAACGTGCTGCTTTAACTGACTGACAGAACAACCCTCAGTGTTGGACCAAAGAACAAAACGGCAGCCCAACGTGAACTTTATAATCTAGAGAATGACTGGTTTAAAAATAAAGCATGTGAAACGCAAAAACCAGCACATCAACACAAGATGCGCAGCGAATTTTTCAATTCCACTAAAACATTTTATGGGCTAATCATTCATGGCACAGCCCCCTCCACTGATCCGATGGTAACTCCCTAATTAAAGACAAAGATAGCATCCTTCAGTGTTAGAAAGAGCACTACTATTTGCTGTTCAACTGAAACACCAATGTGGAAGTCCTGACTACCCAGCAGGTCCCTCAGCATTCAGAGCTGACCAATCTCAGCTATCCTGCATCCCTGGATGAGGTAGCTACTGCCATCAAGCAGATGAAAAATAACAAAGCCTGAGGACCTGATGAAATCCGAGCTGTGGTATATTAAACAGGAGGACCTCTGCTTAACAACCGTGTCCACTCTCTCCTGGAGAATATATGGGAAAGGGAGAAAATCCCCCAAGATCTTTATATTTATAAGAACAAGGGAGACCAGTCAGAGAGTGGCAACTACCGTGGGATCTCGCTGCTGTCCATAGCTGGCAGAATTAGCGCCCAAGTCCTCCTAAACAGACTTCTTCCTGAGGCGGAAAACTTCCTCCCAGATTCTCAATGTAGTTCTAGACCATCATGTGGCACCACTGACATTATCCTTGCTGCCCGCCAGATGCAAGAAAAGTGCAGAGAAGAGCATCGTGACCTGTACATGACCTTCATCGACCTAACCAAGGCCATCCACTTGGTCAACAGGGAAGCCCTCTGGTGGACCCCTCAGCCATTTTAGCTGCCCACCAAAATCGCCATTGTAAGCCAACTTCACGATGGCATAAACGGCGGCGTCCTGCTCAATGGCACCCAGTCTGAGTTCTTCTCCATCCAAACAGAGCTAAAACAAGGATATGTACTTTCAACACAAAACGATTCCAGGCAGGAACAAAGGTGTCTACAGCTTTCATTACTGAACTTCAGTATGCAGACGACATCACCCTTGTCGCTCACACTGAACGTGACCTACAGGAGATCCTGAACGCCTATGGAGATGCGAATGCACACTTCGGCCTTGAGGTAAATGTACAATCAAAGATAAAAGTCGTGTCGCGGTTATGCCTGAAGATTAAATATAGCTCATGAAACATTATGAGACCGCCTACCACAAGGCAGATCGCACCAAAAGCTTAGCCCTTTGGCATATGTTTTCACCAAATTTCACGACACGACTTTTGTCTTTCATTGTAGGTATGACTCATATTCTCTTTCAGCATGCCCCTGGTTTAGCCACATCTCCACCATCCATCCAGCTTAACGGCACTACATTCTCTAATATTACCCACTTTCGGTATCTCGGCTCCCACCTGTCCACCACTGCGGACATCGATGAAGAAATTCAGCATCGGATCAGATGTGCATCTCAAGCCTTTGGCAGACTCCGAAACCATGTCTTCAGCTGTAGAGCTGAAATTATCTACAAAGTTACACGTATATCGAGCAGTGGTCCTCCCCAACCTGCTATATGGCAGCGAGACAGGGGTCACATAGAGGAGGCACATCAAATTACTTGAAAACTTTCACCAAAGTAGTCTACATTCCATCCTCCGAGTTCACTGGGAAGACGAGAACAAATGCCAATATTCTTGCTGACACCAACTGTAGAAGTATCGAGGCTACCATTATCCATAAACAACTATGCTGGACTGACCAATGGCCATGTTACCTGCATGGACGACAGTAGACTGCCAAAGCAGCTACTTTACAGCCACCTAACGAATAGTAATGCTGGCGGGCAACTGAAAAGGTATAAGGATAGTTTTAAGACAAACCTGAAAAAGTGCCAAATAGACCCTCTGACCTGGGAGACGATTACTCCACACCGTAACGCTTGGAGGATCACCACACAAGAAGGTGTCAATGCATTAGAGTTAGCCCGGCTACATAACGGGGCACACAGGCGCCAACGCCGGAAAGACGCTGTCGCCGCTCCTCCCGCACTAGACGTAGACCCCCACATGTGTAACATCTGTGATCGACCCTGCCGATCCCGTATCGGCCTCTTTAGTCACCTCAGAACTCACCAATCAAGGTGACATAATAGCTCATATCATTGTATCATAGCTGGATGATCGTCATACTCGATTCCGAGTGACAGCAAAGTAGTAGTAGTAGTAGTGTGTGTGTGTGTGTGTGTGTGTGTGTGTGTGTGTGTGTGTGTGTGTTTGTGTGTGTGTATACTCAGGAAGGTGGTATAATGCAGGTAAAATAAGTGTAGGAAGTATAGGTAGAATATTTAGTTGTAGGATTGTAAAGTGAGGAAGTTTGGTAGAGTGGCCGAATAGTTATTTAACTTGGTATTATATGTAATGGCCTCTGTCTCATCAACAGAACGTATTATATAAATGGGTTATTTACATCTGATTTATATTCAGATTTATCCCCTGTACTTTTCCACTACCTATGAGTAAGACATGAATTGATCACGTGAAGGGTAACTTTCCCAAGAGGGAGAAGCCCATATGTCAGCATCTATGTAAGCGTGCACCAGTGCGACGCTCTTAGCCAGTCACTCACACCAACTAATATTGAATGGACGTTGATCCTCGTTTATATTACATAAACGCCGTCCTTTCTCATTCACTCATAAATAGTGGAACTTACGGTTGATATACTCTCAGGAATTATGAACATAATACTTTCATAATAAAACAAGAAACTTCAATTGGGTTTCGTTACTAAAAGCCCAATATATATTATGTGTGTACCAACCTGGTTAACTGGGAAATTAACCAGCGTAACATATATTCGTAGGGGAAAACTTCTAAACACCAACTCTAAGTATGGCTATTTATTAGTTAACTCAATGACATGGACACATTAAAAGATTATATCGATGTTACCAGACAATGACTCCCGGGCACCAACATGAAATGAATACACTTCCCACCGTAAGTAACTCACCCAAGGGATCACTCTGACAATGACTCACGTGTGACCTGAGGGAGGTCCAGAGGGTGCTGCTGAAGAAAGTGCTGGACTATGTCTCCTGTGGGAGACTCTGCTAGGTGGGGCTTGGTGCTGGGAAGGGAAGTTTCCCTCCCGACCTCGACTAATCTTCTTCTGAGTTCTGTCTCTGGGAAGGAGCTGTCGGCCCCTTCCCTGTTATAATAGTATTACGAATGCTCCATGTAAGGAACTGCAGGCACCTTATATTGGAGATCTCCAGTCGGAAGACGTCGTCACCAATCTGGGTGTGTCTGGCAAGGTGACAGGTGTCCTGGCTGGAGGGTAGCTTCTTGAGTAACACGGTCATGACGCCGGGTTAGCTAATGACGCGGCGGTAAGAACTCCGGGCCAATGTGACTGTGACCTCTCTTGGGGCAGGTCTGGACAGCTGTGTTTGCCCAGGTGCGTGGTCATGTCGCCGGTCGGTAATGCTATCTAACTATTACCGCCCGGGTGTATCTTGCAGGTGTAGTTTCTTTAACACGGTCATAACGCTGGGTTAACTCAGGTACCTTGTGTTCCTGACCTCTCTTGGGTCAGGTCTTACTGTCACTGTAGGGTGTGTTAACCTATGTGGGTTACCACATCTACTTACTGTTCTTCTCTGGGCTGTAAGCTGTGGTCTGATAAACAATCACTACAGTGATGAGGAACGCGTGTGTGTACTCAAGAAGATGGTGAGGAATGTAATAATAATAATTAACGGTTTATCGAAAGAACATGGTAGCCATAAGGCTGAAAATATACAGTTGCATAATTGGGGAATAGGTCACTTGATTGACCAATAATATACAAGTAACATGAATGATACAAATATGATATATAATACCTAGGTGGGGAGAAACTCACACTACAGGTCATTTCAACATAGTGTGTGTGTGTGTGTGTACTCAGGAAGGTGGTGAGGAACGAGTCCGGAAGGTGAAAGAGAAAATGCGTGTAGAGGGCGTCATTTTACTTACGTAAATCTATGGCGAGCCTAACGAGGGTAGCGGCGACATCCCTCCGTAGCTGGATGATGGCGTCTGGCCTTTGTGAGTCCTCCCTCACCCCGCCGCACGACCACAGTCCGCCCACACATATACCTTTAAACATACTTGAGTTAAAGAACCAATATACTTTTCTTGTGTATATAAATGAACACAAAATAAAAATTTTGTGCAGGAGACAAGAGGAGTAGCAGTGTTCATTCTGAAATTTATCGGATTCCTCCTTAAAGATAATCTTTTGGTTGTATGTACAATCAAAGACAAAAGTCGTGTCGCGGTTTTGTCCGAAAGTTAAATATAACTCGTGAAACATTATGAGAGCCCCCTACCACAAGGCAGAGCACACCAAAAGTCTTAGCCCTTCGGCATATATTTTCACCAAATTTCACGACACGACTTTTGTCTTTCATTGTAGTACATAAGTCATAAGAACATAAAAATATAAGAATGGAGGAAGCTGCAGCAGGCCTATTGGCCCATACTGGGCAGTCCCGCTTTTGACACTAATCTAAGTCAACATTATGCTGGTAGAATGGTGACAGACAATATTCAGTATTTTTTTCCTTGAGTATATTCACAGAACACCAGACGCTGCAAATTTTATAATAATTACTATATTCTTCGTAGTTATCAATGGTCTTGAAGGAAGATATTGCTTGCATGTAAAAATGCTAATGCAAGAGAGAAAATAAAACGTAAACATTTACAAATGTTTCTGTTGAATAAATTTGTTCTGGTAACAGTGGGTCGAGTGAAAGACTTTAAACCCCCGTGATGAGGCAGCCATTACTTTACTTACTTTAACATAAGACTGTCTCCAAAGCGGGTAGTAACAACCATCGCTTCCTGTGTTTACATTTTCTGCATTTTTCACGGTCAATAAAGTTTATCTCTTAAGGAGCACTTAAACAATTATTGCTGGTGTGTAACGCTGTTGGCGCCGGCGGTCAAGAGTCATGTTGCAAGTACGACATTTCGTCTCCATTTTGAAAAAAATTTTCTTTTCTGCTTGACGATTACTACTGAAAAAATAGACAAACGAACAGTAAGGCAACATGGAGACGAATACAAGTGAAAGATGACGGTGCACACATTTTCAGTCCATCTCACGTGAAGTGGAGGGTATTACACTGCCTGCCGTCTGTTTTCTATAACGTTTAATTTTACTAAGGTCACCCAGGGCCGGATTCAGGAGTGGGCAAAGTGGGCAGCTGCCCAGGGGCCTCCACAATCTGAGGGCCTCCACATATTACAATATTTTATTTATTTGTTTATTCATTTGGATTATTTTAAAATTCTTTAAAATTTATGTTTATCTATTCCATCACGTAAAACTATGTTCAGCAAGAAGCGTGATAGAAATTAGGCTAGCTACTCCTTGAAATTCATGAATACCTGGTTTTCCTATATTTTTAATGAATGCTATTGTTTGTGTTGCTAAAATATATTTAGAATTCCACAAACATATATTGATTAAAAATGAACTACATGGAATAACGAAATTGAGATTAAAAAAAAATAAAACATTTTTTTCATTATCACTTCCATTACGAATGCCATCAGGGCGCTGTGTTCTAATTTCCTCAATATAACTGCATATGGCTTCAAAATTCTCCAAAGAAGTGTTCAAATTTCAAAATTTTCCCGGGGGGCTTACAGAGCTCCCCGGAACTCCCAGATGTTTAGGCTCTCTTCACTCGCTACCCCACCCTCTTGGGTAGTTATAATGAGGGGGCCTCCACAAAGAGGCTGCCCATGGGCCTCCACAGGTCTAAATCCGGCACTGAGGTCACCCAGTTCTTGTCTTATTTAACACAGTTTATATAAAAGTACATCTACCTTGGATTATTTTAAATAATTTATCTGCTCAATATAGTCAATAATATTGTAACAGCAATTCAGAATCACTTGTCACATTGGTCAATAAAATAATCAATAAATCTGAAAGACACGAGGGTTAGTGATAATGGTGTAAAGGATTAAGGGATTTGTGTTTCTAGATTAGCATCCTGTTGACATATTCTCCAATGCCTTTATTATCTCCCTAAATTGTAAGAAAATATTTACAAAACAAGTATATTCACTGAAACTGGTCATGCCCCCAACACACCATTCCTGAGGGTAATAACTCAGGGTACTTATTCACGAAGGTCCTATGGTGAATGTTCCTCGAAACGAAAGATGTTAGACGTAACTTTTTATTTGGAGATAAAAAAATAATAATATTCTTAAAAAAGTAATAATATTAATATAAATTTCATGAACCAGTGAGAAGGAAGAGAGAAAGGATGAGGAGGGAAGGAAAGAAAGGGAGGGCAGGTACACAGGGCTGCCAGCCGCCTTACTCAAGCTCTAAAAGTTATAGTCGTCATTATCAGCTTACAACCTTCACAGGATTTCCTATACCCCGCTCACGTGACACAGCCATTAACTACACCAGCAACACTAAAACACAACTTAGAATTCAGACAATTACCCGTTAAGAACAAAACCACAGACGTTCACTCTCCAACGCTTTGCTCACTGGCGTTAGAGAAAAAAATATTTTGAATTTAAATTGCAGTATTTACCACAGACACGACCAAGATTTGTATCTGTGCCAACATAATGTACTGTACTCTTTCATTTTAGCGTGTTAAGGCATGTTCAGCCTCTGTAATTTACACACTATCGTGGTATTGAAGTAAACTTCTGGGTAATTGTGTTCTTTCTCGTATTATATAACGTAGTTGTATATATCCTATTGCAATAATATTAAAAGTATCAGCCTGCTTGTGTTATAATAAACGTTTAATACAGTATTTTGAAAATCCTTCTTTCAATCGTTCATACCGAATCAGTGTCAAACAATGCTATAGTCCGAGTCGGGCCAGACCGAACATGGGTAACATGGGTTGGCGACTGTTATCATTAATGTTGAGTCACGTCCACAGCAGCAAACAGTGTTTGTAACATTGTTGTGAAGAGTTTGAACCAACACTGTTTCCAACATTTTCATGAATCGTCACAACACATATTAGACTAACAGTCTACACCAGCCGTTGTCCAAGTTGTTCCCAACAATTTTACGTTCGTGTGGTCCCGCCCTAATACTGTAAAAAGACAATTATTCAAATGTTATCATCTCTTTCTTTACCTTTGTACTGTACGATAATTCCATAGAAAATACGATAATTTGGGGGGTTTCGTACGCTAATTTCGGTTTCAAATGATAACAACCTTGATACTACGGCTCCGTCACTCCTGTTGAAATTCCGACGAGGGAGTCAGTATCAGTTAACATCAGGATACAGTCTAAAGTTCTAAACAAATGTCAGTCTATCCACTAACACCAGTTCAGACTGTCGTCTATACACAAATCTATATAATATGTGCACACATCTCTGTGTCGAATCAATCTGTCGAATGTCCAAGCTAACATACCTCAGGCCAGCTAAGATTTTTTTTTTTAGATTGCCCCCTTGGGGGCTAGTTTATTGGGCACCCCCTTACATACTGTGCAAGTTAAAGCGCTTATAGCGCCCATCTGGGAAGCATGGGGAGTTCATGCTTGCCTTTATGACTCATGCATTAAGGGCGTAAAAGCCTGAAGGGTCATGGGTTTTGTCAGCAAGCTACATAAAGTGACAGAATGATGAGTGTGTGGGGGGAAAATTCCGGGTACAATTTATCTGTTTATGGCAAAGCCTTGTGCTCCCACCGGTGCCCCCCCCCCCCCACAACCGCCCTCCGGTGACACGACACAGATCATATCCCCCTTACACGAATTTACCAACCGTATTGAAAGACTACCCCTGCCTCCAAACTGCTCCCCAGTCACTCCCTCTTCTGGTTTGACACAACCTGGTAGCCCCCCCCCCCCCACCCAGGTGTGCCAGCAGAGATCAGTGCACTGGGTCAGGCTGGAGGGACGTCACAGCTCAGGTCAGCGTCACGCGACCCCATGACACGCCACCACCTTGGGTACCCGAATCAATTAAGAGAACGTACCTAGTTAAGGAAGTTAATGTACAGTAGTTAAGGTGTTTTTTGGAATTTAATTTTGTGTTTTAAATGAAGTCAACCATTTAAGTACAAATTTATGTCTTTACTTACGCGGGATCTTTACCGGACGAACCTCGCTTAATAAAACCATTTCAAAAGCTGACTTTTTTTTTAGCATTCTTCAGTCTATTTATGTCCACGCTATGAGGCCACTCCCCCCTCCCCTGCCTTTATTACTGTGACATACAGCTGAATCCAGTTATAATCTCCGGTTGTTTATGTTGGTATGTCTGTATACAGCATAACATCACTCCTAATTCTCTGCAGTATTATCATTAGTTAAATTTCTTCCCAAGAGCAAAATTTTAAAAACTGGGAGAAATTAGATGAAAATTTCTAGATACCTCAATCATTTAAAACTTAAGGAGGAAATGACTGTTTCGTTAATGTAGGTTAAATGTCAAAGTCATTATATGATCACTATCATGCGCCTGGCAGCGTAGTCTGGGACTAAAAAGATACGTGCTGTAATTCGACTGGTAAAAACTGTCGTTCTTGCATGGAGGTCACGAAACGGGACGACCTGGGGTCCCACTCCAAGATGTAAATGATTTCTAACTTTTCCTACAAACTCCAAAATCTTAAGGAAATTTCAAAATTGATTTCGCATGATGTGAGCGACTGCATGCAATACTCTGCGTCTTACTTGGAAGTTTACCCAACTGAAGTCTTTCGAGTCAGACTTGTTATTGCTTTTCGATAGTCTTAAGAAAAACAGAAATGACAAGTAAAAAATACCAGTAATTTTTTTTACTATTACAGATGCATTAATATTATGCAAGTGTAATAAAGGTAACTCAGGGTAGAAGTATAGGTAGAAGTTATTAGTAATAGGATTGTAAAGTTTGGTAGCGTGGCCGATTAGTTATCTAACTTAATATATTCCTAGGGGGAATTTTCTAAACGCCACTTCTAAGTACAACTATTTATTAGTTAACTGAATAGCATGGACACATTAATAAACCCTTCTATTGAAGTTACTAGACACTGACTCTCGGACACAAACATGAAATGGATACACTTCCCACCGTAAGTAACTCACCCTTGGATCGCTCTGACAATGACTCAAGTGTGACCTGAAGGAGACCCAGCGAACTGCGAACAACTTCATATTTCCCGCCTCTGCTGACGGCCGTGTAAATATTTCAATGTGATTCTAATCTTTTAAAATGTTAGTTTTT